AGAGAGAGAGAGAGAGAGAGAGAGAGAGAGAGAGAGAGAGAGAGAGAGAGAGAGAGAGAGAGAGAGAGAGAGAGAGAGAGATCTAACTCACCTTTGATGGCACCAAACATTGCCATCTCTTGAATCAACTTGTCTCTTGCAAGTGCCAAGTTTCCCCGAGAGAAATGCTTCTTTAGTTTAGGCCAGTACCCGCACATATTATACCCATCAACAAGCAATACCGGGGGCACAATCACAACGCCATCGTTGGTGCTGTCTTCACATGCAGGTCAGTTGACAAAGCACACACAGAAACAAGTATAGCATGGCATACAGAGCCGTGACATATCATGGGTCTTAGACTATCCATCATCCCATCACCAAACTCCCTTAACAAAACACATAACCTTAGCAGTTTAGACTCTTTAGAGAACTGTCTACAAAATTTCTGTACAATCAACAAATGATGCATGTCTAATCAGAGATCAGACATGCAGGAATGTCAAGGTCAAACCCTGTGAGGCAACAGTGCGAAGAGTACACAGCACATGCAGGTCAGTTGACAAAGCACACACAGAAACAAGTGTAGCATGGCATACAGAGCCGTGACATATCATGGGTCTTAGACTATCCATCATCCCATCACCAAACTCCCTTAACAAAACGCATAACCTTAGCAGTTTAGACTCTTTAGAGAACTCTCTACAAAGTTTCTGTACGATCAACAAATGATGCATGTCTAATCAGAGATCAGACATGCAGGAATGCCAAGGTCGAACCCTGTGCGGCAACACTGCGAAGAGTACACAGCGGAAGACTCAAAGCATGTACCGACCAAAGGAATGTAAGCACAGAAGCGGCAAGCATACACAGGAGGATGCCTCCCCACTTGGGAAAGAAGAAGAAGAGGGAGGAGAGGTGAGGGAGGGGAAAAAGAACTCTATGGCAATCCCACTAATATCTCCCTGACACTCTCCAAATCAAAGCCTCCCCCTTCTGAATGGACACCTCCAATACCAATACAAGAGTGTCAACTCTCTGCTCGAGAGAGATTCCACTCTCAAACACACCCTAGCTGAGGAGACTAATATGGGATCTCTGAAGGAAAAATGAGTCATTGACAGAAGACACCTCGGTCACCGACCACCGGCGCTGCGCATCGCTAGCGCCCTGGTACCCTGCAGGGGACCGGCTGGCAAGGCCCAGCCTGCTCTCTGTGCGACGCGTCAGCAACACTGACGTGGCTTTCACGCTATCGTGTGCATGCCACGTGGCGTGCAACGTAGTGCCCGTTTGAGAGGGGTGTTTCTGGTGGGGAAGGGGTGTTACTAGGAGTACGACATGCGATGTGTGGCGTGGCGAGGGCTTACACGCGGCATGGCTTTAACTACGAGGAGCGATATCGGGGCGTTCATTACCGAGCCTGCAGCATCGACAGGGGCGAGAGTTGAGGGCCGGACGGAGATGGCGTGCTTGAGTGACATGTGGACAGGAGACACCGAATGGCTCTGCACTGCTCAAGCGACTGGTGCGCGCTTAAGTCAGATCCTGACGAAGTTGCGAACGGCTGTGATCGCAAGGGAGAAGCCGTCGATCTTGTGGATTCGAGGTGCTCAGCAATCTTTAATGGAGATTGGATGGGGGTTGGAAGAGGGGCCACCCCCCCACCTGGAATTCGTGGATCGGCCACAATCGAATGCATTCATGCGGCGCTGCTATAAGGACCTTGAGGAGGGGCAAGGTCTTTGTGGCGACTTGGAGGATAGACTCTACGACGACGACGACGACGATATCGCGGACGGACAGCAGCATCACCGTTGATGACGAGGTTGATACCGGCAACCATGACGACAATAATCAGCTCTTCTGCGTCGCCGAGGCCTGCAAAAACAACAACAACAGCAATAACACATTGACGGTGTCTGTGGCACAGGCCGCAAACATCAACAACAACAAGCACACGGTGCGCGATAGAGGGATAGGAGGAGCGATCTCCAGTCTGTGCGTGCTTGGGAACGATGACGATCTTGACACTAAACACAACAACAACAACAACATAGTACGCAACAACAAAACCTACATCAGCAAAAAATTGGTGACGATACTCGTGGAAATGTAAGTGTGACTTGCCTGTTTCTCTTCCCCCTTTCTCCCCCTGCCATCCCGCTTTCGCTCCTGTCTTCTTTGGGGAGCGATTGGGGCCAGGGGCGAGAGGGTTGGGTGATTGGAATGTTTGGTGAACAGGAAGACGGTGCGGGGATGCGGGGGGTGGGATGGTGGCGCGAAGGGGTGGGATAGAGAAGACAGCACCCTAATTAGCATCAAGGCCCCCCACCCTGTGTGGACTCATGGATTGTGCGGATCGTGGGGGTAGGTTGGTGAAGGTAATCTGATACAACCTTGTTCCCTAATTTCCGTGCCCCTCCTCCTCGTGACGCAGTAAGAGCTCTTGGCTCAATCGCTGGTTATGAAGATCGAGGGGGGATATGGCGATTTGGGGATTACCTATAAGTGATGACTTGGTGATGATTTTGGAATTAGCCATAATAGTTGACCTGACTCTCTATTCTGACTGCCTCTCCCCCTCATGGTG